TTCCTTAGTCAACACAAATATATTGTTGATCTTCTAGAGAAAACCAAAATGAAAATGAAGCCAAGGTTGTTCTTAGTCCAATGTCAACCAACACTCCCATGTGCAAGAATGGTCGTTCTTTGAGGACTGATGTCACCTTCTACAAAAGTATAATCGATAGACTCCAGTATTTGTCCATGACCAAGCCTGACATTGCTTTCTCCGTGAACAAGTTGGCTCAATTCAAGAAGCAACTAATTGCCACACACCTTATTGGTCCCAGTAAAATACGAATCTAGAAGGGCGGGTTCAATAGATTCTTCGCTTAGTTGACTTCAAATGGTATTTCAAAACTTTCTTTCTAAATTTCTTACATTTTAAGACCAATTTCAAATAATCACATTCAAATTACAATTCAATCAAGAATACAAATTATCATATTTAATACACAGTGGAATAATTATTTGCAATCTAGATTGATTTTAGTAGTTACCTTCTTTCTTTAATATCAAATTGCACATATCATACTCAGATTTTCAAATCAGCAATCAATAACATTCTGAGAAACAGTTTCTTGAATTTCTTGAAATTCTTTTTTATCAATTTAACAAGAATTATAACAAGCTATGAAGATTAAGAGAGAATTTGCTCAGTGATCTATATCGATTCAGCCATACAAAGGCCTATATCCAATTTCAGACTTAGCATCCCGCTCAATCTAGTCATTCCACTATAATATTTTTTACAAATATCATGTACAAGCAATATTATAATCAAAATCTAAATCTCACAATCTTGATTCTACAAGATTACATAAACAAAGAATTCTTTACCCCACAAGAAACCACTTGAGAAAAACCTATCCCAAGATTTATCTTAACTCTTCTAGAGACACCCTAACTCAAAGAGTCATATACCCAGTAGTAAAAACAAACTTTAAAGATAAGAAATAATACACCTGTTGTGTAGAATGATCTTCCACATATATTAGCTCAATAATTTTTGAAGTTCTTTGAATTTCTTTCAAGAAAACATCTTTCTATTTTCAATCTTGCTCTCAAAAAAATTTTTTAGATAAAAAATGTTTCCTTTTTTCCTTTCTTTATATCTCTAATTATCATCTCTTTTAAGTTTTTGAAAAAAGTTATAGTTATAGAGCAAACAAGATTTCAGCATTAAAAACTCGTAATAGCAATAATCTATTACCAAAGCAAGTAATCTATTACCAACTTTTAATGAAATTGAAATCAAATTGAGTCAAGCACTGAAGTAATTGATTACTATTCCTGGTAATCGATTAACCTGAGTTCCATAAACCATAAAACTCAGTTTTGTGTAGAGGTAATTCGATTATCCTAATGCTTTTTCAACTTGTTTCACTTTTTTCACTCAAAAGTCACCATGATAATCTATTACTTAATTTGGTAATCTATTATTATAGAGAAGACTTCGAATTCCACTTCAAAAATAAGCTTCAACAATCTATTACCTGAAATGGTAATCTATCACCTGACTTAATCTTGAATTCTTTTAAATGAACTAAATTTCATTTTATGTCACAACACTTTGTAATCTGTTACATTATGTTTTCACATGAAATGAGAAACATTGAGTTTTATATTTACCAAAACAAGATGTGTTTTTGAAATTAATCAATCATGATAAGCAAGCACATTCATGCCTAAGTCTATTTAAACAATCAATACAATATCTTTTTTACATAGGCCAAAAATTCAAAATGAAGCAAACTTAATCAAAGCTAAATATAGCTACATTAAAACTAAAACTTCATCTTCAATCTTCACAAAGATCTTCAAGAGGGCTTCAAACTCAACACACCTAACAACTTTACAAAGGATTTTGCATTATCTTAAAGGCACCATCTTTCATGGTTTAATGCTTCAAAAACCAAAGTCTTATTCCCTCATTGCATATAGTGATGTTGATTGGGCTAAAAATAAACATGACTTCACCTCTACCTTTGCACATCTTGTATACTGCAACTCTAACTTGATTTCTTGGAAATCCTCCAAATAGCAAGTTGTAGCTAGATCTTCAATAGAGGCTGAATATAGAGCTTATCAAATTCTACAGTATAACTATCATGGATTCACTCCCTACTAGCTGAATTAGGTGTCACCACCTCCAAGGCACCATTGATTTTTTGTGACAACCTGAGTTCCACATACCTTACTCATAATCCATTATATCATAATTGTATGAAATATATTTCAATTGACATTCACTTTGTCAAAGACTTAGTCGAACAAGGAAAATTCAAAGTTCATCATGTTTGCACGACTAACCAGCTTGCAGATTGCTTCACCAAACCTTTATCCAAGGCTTTCCATCAACAATTGAAAAATAAGATTACTTTTGTTGACGGAACTCCAATTTTTTAAGGGCATGTTAGACCAACAAACTAAACTCCTATGTTCAGGGGATTTTATGTTTATCTATTTTTTATTAATTTGAATTGTACTTACTTGGAATTTTAGTTAAGTATATCAGGTTATTACTAATTTAAAATAACATGAGTCTTAAGCTTATATATCTTTGTAATTTTTTTTTTTTATATATTCACCTCAAAGCTATAGAAACTGTAAGCTATTCATATTCAAATTTATATAATTATTATCTAATGCTTGATGAGACTTTGAGAATACTTCATTATATTTTGGTGTGGTTCCTTCATATTGAAAGGTTTAAACACAACTATAAGGTATATACAATATCTTGTGTTTTCTCTTACATTTGTTTTTTATGTTTTTATTGAACAAAATTTATTAGTGTTTCGTTCGTAAGTCCGCTGTTATCATTAAGGTTATCACATCCAAGGTATTGTTTGTTTTGGTGCTTGTTGCGCCATCACAATTTTGTCCTCGAAAAGACGTCTCAATTGATTAAGGAGGGATAATATTTATAAACTACTTTTAGCCTCGATTCTTAAGTGATGTGAAACTTTTTAGATATATCAGAATAAGCCTTATAGTCAAGGCTAAGGGGCAAGAATGGCCTAGGTCCTTCTTCTAGCGCTAATGTTCTGACCGTAAATCGGTTGTCATCATTAGGATTAACGCATTCGAGGTATTGCCCAATTTGACGCTTGTTGAGCTATCATGATTTTGTCATTGAAAATGCGCCTCAATAGGTTAAGGAGGGAGAGTGTTTATAAACTATTTTTAGTCTCGATTCCTAAGTGATGTGAAACTTTTTAAACATATCGGAATAAGCTCCCCAGTCAAGGCTAAATGAGAAAAGTGACCTAGGCCGTCCTTCTAACAGCAATGTTCCAAGTGTAAGTTCGTTGTCATCATTAGGATTATTGCATCCGAGGTATTGTCCGTTTTGACGTTCGTTGGACCATCACAATTTTGTTTTTAAAAGAGCATCTCGGAAGGTTAAGGAGAGAGAATATTTATAAACTACCCTTAGACTCAATTCCAAAACAATGTGAAACTTTTTAGACATATCAAAACAATTAATATTCTCTTTTTTTTTTTTTATTTATGGACATGGTCCACATATCCCAGAATTAACAATCAAAAATTTATTTGTACTAATTATGGAATGTAACTTCCTCTAGCCAAACATTATTTATTAATGTTCTTTGAACACTTAATTTGTGAAAAGTTTTATAAACACACTTCCACTGTAACGTGCGCAGGAAATTATACTATAAAAATACTGTTTCATCCACACAATCCAATTCCTTTTTTGATGAGTACTTTTTTTTATATATATAAAGAAAAGGCAAATTATCTCTCTTTTGTTGGTTCTACCTTGATTTTCTTTTTTTTTTCCCTCTTATTTTAACATTATAATTTAAGATTGATGTATATAAATTATAAAATATTTAATAAATATAAAATATTGTTATATTTAAATTAAATACTCTCATTTCATTTCTCGTTACTTATTATAAACTACTATATTATAATTAACAATTGTTAAATAAGATAGGATAAAAAATAATTATTGATTTTCTTAATAAACCAAAAACATTATTAAGTAATTCAACCAAGTTCAAGGTGTGCATAACTAAAAACAAAACATTATATCTCAATAATTATTGATATTTTAAATTTATAACACATCAATAATTTTTAGGAAAAAAAATATATAATATTAGCATAATGCAAACACACGCAGCCAGAGAAAAAAGGGGAGAGAATGAAAAGAAAATCCATATAAGCTGATACATGATCATACCTGAAAAATTTTTACCACACTGTTGATTATTTATTTCTCAGTTAACACATACCTCTAATTTCTCATATATTTTACTCATCTGCATATTTTTCACATGATTTTAAAAGAAGAGTAATGCTTTGTACTTCAAATCAAAGTTCCGAATCAACATTTTAAATTATTCAGTAATTTACATCTGTAAAATATTTTAAATAAATTATTTTTTAATTTTATTATTTTTAAGTTTTAAACATTCAGAAAATCTTTCGGCCAAAATCTTTTGGGAGGATGCATCGATCATTTTTATTAAAAGAAATTTCTAACCTTACATAATTTTATAATATCATATGATAAGTGATCAAGTCAAATTAAACATTAAACACAAGAAAAATTAAAAATGAATAATACACCATTTTTCTAAACTAAAAGTATTTCTCAATCAAAAACTAAGAACTAATTTATATAAAATTTATTTAAGGAATTCACCTCTCAATCATACTCCTTTTTATTTCTCTTATTTTCACCCTATTTTATTTTTAAATCAAACAAAAGGTTGACTCACACTTGAATGTAAAAAATAAAAAATAAAAAACTGAGTCCTCTTCACTCGGACACAAGTTTTAACAGCTCTAGAGGATTACAAAATTGAAAACGAAGAAGAAAAAGAGAACACATAACATAACATGATACCACGTGGAACCAATGAGAAACCGAACTCCCTTATCCCACATCAGAAATCCAATCCAATGTTCACCAATCATTCACTTCCAAATGCAATATCCATAACCAGCCACATTTTCAATGCCACATCAGCCACCCCACATCTAAAGCCAAAATTCCAAGTCCACACACCCTATAGTGTCTCTGATTATTCACAGGCCAAACAAAGTGTGAACTAGATTTTCATCACAATGGCCTCCACCCAATGTTTCTTGCACCACCATGCTCTCACCACTCCTACTAGAACCTCACCACAGCGCCAAGCGGTGACCACCAAGCCAAACCTCATTGTTTGCAAGGCTCAGAAGCAAGAGGGTGATGCCACCACCCTTGTCTCCCGCAGATTGGCCCTCACTGTGCTCATTGGTGCTGCTGCTGTTGGCTCCAAGGTCTCACCTGCTGATGCAGCTTATGGGGAAGCTGGTATTTTATATTGTTTCTCCCTTCTTTGCATGACCAACTTATGATTATCATGCATAGCTCATATACCTTCAAAGCCTCAATCATGCAGAAAATTGTGGTCAAATGTCACTAAGAGCCTAATCAGATACAAGCCTAGAAGTACTTTTGAAAACTACTTTAAACACTTATAATTTGTGTTCAAACATGCTCTAGTATGACTAGAATTGTGTTTTATGTTATTTTAAACCTTGTTTTTAGCTTTGAGACAAATTAAGTCACACCTTACAATTTGAGGAATCAGCAAGTAGTTCATGATAAATTTCTCGTAAAGTAAGGAAATTTTTAGGTTTCAGCCTTGGTCTACATCTAGTTCTTTCAGCTTCTCCTTGGGTATCTACAACAATAGATAAAGCCTATAACAGATTTTGGTGTACACATTTCATTTTTTCCTTTTTATCCTTTATTATTACATGAAGAATATGTTCTGTTTTTTTAATATCAAAGGTCAAATAGTTGTCCTCCATGTCAAGTGTTAGCAGTATAGATAATTGATAAAGGTTATAGAAGTTGTAGTACTCATTGATTATAGATGCACGAAGTGCCTCGACTCCATTAGTCTACCATAATACAAATGTTTGCTTCTTATGGGATAAAATTTACTCAATCATGCATATATAGTGTTGTGTGATCCATGTACCGATCATTTCTTATTGAACTATTAAGGAGTGTTACCAGGACTCTTTCTCCACCAAACTTTCTTATATTAGTTAAAATTTATGTGGATCCTACTAATTTTGGAATGCAACCTACCAAATGGATATCAAGAGACTCTTATATTTATGGAAGAGTGTGTTGAAAAGATAATAATATTAATAGTGTATTGCTAGCATTTCTTTTTCACTAAATAGTCATGCTTTGAATTCTTAAGGAAATCACACTTTCTTTGCTGTCACGGAAGCTCTTGGAAAATCCAAATAACTGCAATATACCTTTGCTTTTAATTGAAATGCTATTTTGTAGTAGGGACAGAACACAGTTTACTTTTGATTTTGTGCATTCTCATTCTTTGCTTGTTAGAGTTTAAAGATCAAAGAAATAGAGTGATCATAGGACCAAAGCGAGAAATTTGCATAGGTCTAGATAGTCTGAAGAGCGGCTTGGCTTTTATTGCCCTTTGGCCTTGAAGCATAAGTCCATCGATACAAACATTGTGCTGAAATTATAAATGAAAGGATGAGGTTGGTGAGGATTAGAGTAACTTTTTAAATCTTGATTATGCAGAATCTCTGACATTATATCAATGAACTAACTATCTCAAAAGTTTATACAATCAACTGAAAGCCAAAGAACAATTTTTACCTAAAAAAATTTTGGGTACTTTGAAAATTAGAATTTTTTTTATCATTGTTTTTTTGTTGCAGCCAATGTGTTTGGAAAGCCAAAGACAAACACAGACTTCCTGCCATACAATGGGGAAGGATTCAAACTGTCAATTCCCTCAAAGTGGAACCCGAGCAAAGAGGTTGAATACCCAGGTCAGGTTCTTAGATATGAGGATAATTTTGATTCTACCAGCAATGTTTCTGTCATGGTCACTGCAACTGATAAAAAGTCCATTACTGACTATGGTTCACCTGAGGAGTTCCTATCTAAGGTAAACTTATTGTAAATTTTAGCTTGTTTTCTAATTCATAAGGTTCATAAATTCATAATATTAACCAGTGTATGCACAATAGTTGAGTGAAGCTTCAAAAAGTTAAATGAATAATGTCTATGATGTTTAAAGACAATGATAACAGTTCCTGGCTGAAATTCAAGATTTGGTTTTTCCTTTCTGTAGGTGGATTATTTGCTTGGAAAACAAGCCTTCTTTGGCCAAACTGATGCTGAGGTATTTAACTCATAATTTATGAGTAACATTATGGCATGCATTTTCAACCTTACAATTGCATGCTTTCTTTTTTCAATTTTGGCAAATGCTAACAAATTAATGCTGTTATACGACACTAGTTAAGGAAGTAAAAATAAAAAAATAAAAAATATTCTTTGTTAAAGATTGTATTTATTTTACCCAAAACAAAAACAATTATTTAATTTCACCATAGATAGCCCTTTCATGAGTTTTTGCATTAAAATTTTGGCAGAAAACAATGGAAGCATAATAAATTTAGAATAGATAATACATGCACAGACCATATTAAATGACTTTTACACTGTCATGCAGTTACAAATAGTCATATATGGTATGTTAGTTAACTTTAATAATAGCTCTCTTAAAAGTCAATCCAAATATGATATCTGACTAATTAACAATGTAAAAACTTTTATACTGACTTTGCATAGCTGTTAAGTTCTCAACATTCACCCAAAATTTATGTTTTTCTGCCAGATTCTTTAACTTACTGAGTATGGCCATCAAGAATGCACCAAATATTCTTAACTACTTCTGTACTTTAATTTCTCAGGGTGGTTTTGATGCCAATGCTGTAGCAACAGCAAACATCTTGGAGAGTTCAACACCTGTCATTGATGGGAAACAGTACTACAATTTATCTGTGTTGACAAGGACAGCAGATGGAGATGAAGGTGGCAAGCACCAACTAATTACAGCCACTGTGAAAGATGGAAAACTATACATTTGCAAGGCTCAAGCTGGAGACAAGAGGTGGTTTAAGGGAGCAAGAAAATTTGTGGAGAGCACTGCAAGTTCTTTCAGTGTTGCCTAAGAACTTGGTGGAGGGTTATTCTGCATGTAAATCATCTTGAAGGGGTGTGTATGTCTTGAATTTAAGTGGCCCCTTTTTTCCCACAAGTTTAAGTACTTGAGGCAGTTGGTTGGAGTAAGCACTTTGATTCTTAATTTTTCATGGCTTTTAAGGACTTCGCCCCTTTACACTCTTTGATCAATTAAGCATTTTAAGTTGCTATAAGCCAATAAGGAGCATTATGCATAATAAAAGATTCAAGCCTTTTTTTTTAATAACAATGTAATATTATTACAAAATATCCATTGGTATCAATAATTACTAATTCTTATCAAAGAATTTTGTTAGACATTTTTAGTGCACTTCTTCCCTCACAGTTACTTTTTTACATACACAAAACTTAGATTAAAAACTTTGTTTAAAGAGATCGAATTCAGTATCATTTCGATCAATAATTTGTTAGTCAATGATACTTTTTACAAAGTGCATGAAATATTTTATAATATTTTTTTATTATAAAAATTAATTTTATTGAGGGGGAAATCACATCTCTACCATTCCTTGAAATTTGAGAATATATAATTAGGTTGCACAATTCCAAATACAAGCATGGCAATTAATAAGCACAGGGAGTAGGTGATATAATACGTTTCACATGTACCATAAATATAACCAATAATTCATATGCCACAAATCACTTCATAGGACTGGAGCAATCTTTTTTAACTTTTGAGATTCAATTAAGCGCAGTCCATTTCTAACATGAAACTTATTCGGTCTTGATATTAGTCGACAATTCATTTTACAAGGAAAATCAAGATAATAATATTAATAGGATCACTTAAATAGGATATCATTTCTCCGGTATAGAGCAAGATATAAAATATTATCAAAATATCAAAGATTAAAGCAGAAATAATAACTAAATAGAAGTCTTCAAACTCCATAAGCAAATTATAAAGTACTCACAAAAAGGCTTAAGTACACGGCACAAGACAAAGTAGTAAAAAAATGTTCAAGTGCTTCATCTCTTTCGATTTTAGGCAACAATAAAATATCATCACTAGACCATATTTTTAATTTCTTATATATATTTGTACTATTAAAAATTTTATATATCTTTTAAAGGTATAAATATATATTATAATTATTTATTACAAGTTTTTTATATCTATGATTAGTATTAAAGATGAAAATAAATTAGGTTACACTATATTTTATTATAATTTAGTTGGTTTGAACCTAACTTTCTTTAAAAATATATATCTTAAGTATGACTTATTTATCTATCATAGACATTTTTAAATGTTTGGGTAGAACTACAATTATAAAGATTTATTTTATAATAAGTTAACACAATTAAAAATATAAAAATAAATATGTTAAATTTTATAAAAATAAAGTTTAATTTATATTTATGTATATGTCAAATAGTAGTGGGAGCAAGTGCCCCACTATTCCAAACGTGCATCCGTCCCTGTATACATATTCAACTTCTTTAAACTTGCCTCTCTTATCTCATGGAAAGCCCTAGTGAAGCATCACCTTATCAAATACATCAACACCAAAATAGTCAATGAATCTCGTTACTAAGACAACAATAGGAATGATATATCTAATGAATCTGATTTTCTAGTGACGACTTATTTTGGTCGCTAAATCGGTCGCTATTTTGATTTTTCATAATCGGTCGCTAAATCAGTCGCTAAATAGCGACTGATAAATTTTGGTCGCTAATTTCGGTCGCTATTTTGCAATTTTCTAGTAGTGGGCGTCCATTTCCTCCTTCAGTTGGCGTTCCATCTCGGCCATGTTGGTCTCGTCAACCGTCTCGGCATTGTCTGCTTCGGATTGGTGCTCATCTTCAGATCAGTGGTCTTCGGTGTGTGTTCTTCTCGTCTTCGCCATGATACTTGGTCTCTTCGAAGTAATACTCAGTTTGTCGTTTCAAAGCTATCGGTTCGGCCCCACGGTGGGCGCCAAAATGTACCTGTCTGAGGGCACACTCGTAATCTTCTGGTAGGTGGAGGGCCGAACGAGAGCTTCAGGTGGATGCTCCAGAGGGGGGAGGTACCTACAAAAGGCACTCCGACGCTCAAGTCAGGACAAGCACGATTCTCTAGGGTAATAAATGAACAGTGACATACCTCGTTACGTGTGACTTATTTATACTACCTGTCATGGGCCTGAGCATGGTGGGCCTTCTCTGACACTTACCAAATTAGGTAATACGATGGTAATCGGCTGGTTATGCCTTAATTGCATGTTGTCCTTTGTTAATCATGATCGTCATGCTGATTATTCTCTCTGTTGACCTTTGGCCGAGCCGATATGGAACGGTCGAGACGTCATCTTCGGCTTTCGGCCGAGCCGATAGGTAAAGGGTACGGTTCTCGGTCCCTTGTCGAACCGAAGCAATATCTGAGCTGCGTCAATATCTGATAGGACATGACGTGCTAGTCCACGTGGCCGATCCACGTGGCCGATAGGATCCTTCCGGTACAAAATATATTATCATGAGAGAAAAAACCTAATATGAAAGAATAAAATCAGTAAGAAACATGCATCTCATATCTTTTTCTTTTAGAAAAAGTCATCTTATTCAAGACCACATTCATCATATTGTTTTACCACATCTTTTTCTTCTTGGGCCTCTTCATTCAAGACCCAGCCTTGAAGGGTCTTCGCCATCTTCAACTTCTTTAAACTTGCCTCTCTTATCTCATGGAAAGCCCTAGTGAAGCATCACCTTATCAAATACATCAACACCAAAATAGTCAATGAATCTCGTTACTAAGACAACAATAGGAATGATATATCTAATGAATCTTGAGCTTTAGATGACATATTTTACCTATTGAGATTCAGCAGCATACATCAACCGTTATGTTGTCCTAGTAACCAATGAATTTTGATGGTCAATGAATCTTGAGTTTGTCGAGACGTCATCTTCGGCTTTCGGCCGAGCCGATAGGTAAAGGGTACGGTTCTCGGTCCCTTGTCGAACCGAAGCAATATCTGAGCTGCGTCAATATCTGATAGGACATGACGTGCTAGTCCACGTGGCCGATCCACGTGGCCGATAGGATCCTTCCGGTACAAAATATATTATCATGAGAGAAAAAACCTAATATGAAAGAATAAAATCAGTAAGAAACATGCATCTCATATCTTTTTCTTTTAGAAAAAGTCATCTTATTCAAGACCACATTCATCATATTGTTTTACCACATCTTTTTCTTCTTGGGCCTCTTCATTCAAGACCCAGCCTTGAAGGGTCTTCGCCATCTTCAACTTCTTTAAACTTGCCTCTCTTATCTCATGGAAAGCCCTAGTGAAGCATCACCTTATCAAATACATCAACACCAAAATAGTCAATGAATCTCGTTACTAAGACAACAATAGGAATGATATATCTAATGAATCTTGAGCTTTAGATGACATATTTTACCTATTGAGATTCAGCAGCATACATCAACCGTTATGTTGTCCTAGTAACCAATGAATTTTGATGGTCAATGAATCTTGAGTTTGTATCACCATTTAAAATATGCCAAAGCTTGACCTGGAGTAGTACAGGGATGGGTGACCTTCTAGGAGAATTAATAAATTTATTAAAATTAAAAAAATATATATAATTTTCCATCAGAAATTTCTGATGAAAATTTCTTTCCGACGCCACTTTTTTCGATAGATTGAAATCCGTCGGAAATCCGTCAAAAATTTACTTGTTTCCATCGGAAATCAACATTTTTCTTGTAGTGTTGGGTCTTCCAAATTTTAAAATTAGGGTCTTCAAATTTTAAAATTTATTGCATCATCATGTCTTAAGCCTTAGTTTTGATAAATTTTTCTAACACTAATAAAAAAAATAAAAAAGCAAAAGGGATCGTAAAATCGTACTAGTTGAAAATCAGCTTATGCTCGTACTAGTTGAAAAACATTGTTCCACATAGCGATATTAACGTTGATTGTGTCACACCCGATGTAGTAGAAGATGTGGTGACAACTTTGCAAATTGTGTGATTTTATTACGTTAGTTGTAAAACCTACGAATTGAGCCATTCTACGTGCCGTGAGAGAACAATTGACGTAAAGATGACTCTCTATTATGTCAGTTATTTAAACAACCTACGAAGAATGCTATATATTTTGCCTAATATCCTCTTCTTTGTCACTATGCAAATCACAAGGTGTGTTTTTGCAATTTTGAATTTTTTTTATGTTGTTTGGTTGATGTTTGATGTGTATTGCACGTTCTGGTTGATGTTTGATGTTGGGAATCATTGTAAGTGTTGTTGTTAGTTAGATTTGGTTTATTTTTTATTGCACTTTGTGTTCATATAATTGTTATACCGAAAATTTGATTTTATTTGGCTTAATTTTGACATCACTTTAGGCACGAAAATGTGTCATGACTTAGATCTAGGCAACACCTTAAGCACCAAAAAAATGTCTTTGGCTTAGTTTGGACACTACTTTAGGCACCATAAAAATGTGCTTTTGACTTAAATTTGGACACCACCTAAGACACAAAAATGTGTCTTTGGCTTAGTTTGGGCACCACCTTAGGTACCATAAAATGTGCTTATGGCTTAGTTTAGGCACCACTTTAAGCACGGAAGTATGTCTTTGACTTAGTTTGAGCACCACCTTAGACACCACAAAACTTAGCCATATATACCTTAGTCACCATAAAACTTAGCCATATACCCTAGTGTAGTTAGTGTAAGTTAGTTAGAGTAACTAATTAGTTAGAGTAGTATTTATTAATTAGACTAAGTCATGAAGTTATTTAGTTAGTGAATAATATTTATTTAAGTTAGTCTAAAATTGTAGTTATTTATTTAATCAATTACAACAATTAATTTCGTATAATTTTTCCTAATTAAACTAAGTCATGTAGTTAATTAGCGTAGTTATTTATTATATTTTTTTAGAAGATTAGCGTATTTATTTAGTTAGTGAATACTCTGTAATATTTATTTAAGTTAGTTTAGAATTGTAGTTATTTATTTTAATTAATTTAGTATAGTTTAATTAGTTATACCCTATATACTTAGCTTATACTAATTCTGATTAATTTAATTAAACAAAATCACATACAAAAAATGTTATACATATACACAAAAATTGTCACTATACATATAATATATAAGATAAGTCTATTTGAGATATATCTGCACATAATTAGGGATGGCAATGGGGCCTCATGGAGGCGGGTA